TTTGCACTTCAGTGGGCCAAATCAAATCTGATATTGTTTTACCTTTTATTTGGTGTGTGGAAGGTGTGCGGAAGAGGGGGTAGTCTTATACGGCGTATATAACAAACTCTGTATTTTGAGTGGAAATGTTAGGGGGTCGTTTTATACGCCCAGTCGTCTTATACGCCGGCAAATACGGTAGACTGAAGAACAAAAGGACAGCAACTTGTCTGTTCCCCTTCCCCCGATTCCCCAGTGCTGTTCCCCTCCCCCAATTCCCCAATAAAAATCTTAAAAAAAAAAATGCATCCAGAATCCGGGAACATCTCATCACCCCCTCCTCGGTCCAGCTACCAGCACTCCCACCTGACAATTGCAGTTGCCTCCCCACTGGGCTCCCGGACTCCACGTTCAACCCACAGTCTCTTCCCCACACAGCTGTCAGATGAATCCTGTTAGAACTAAGTCTAATCACATCCCTCCTCCGCTCTGAGCCCTCCTCTGGCCCCCACTTCACCCAGAGCAAAAGCCAAACTCCTTACAAAGGTTACAAGGCCTCACCTTTCTGACCTCATCTCCTGCCCCTCTACCCTTTGCTCACTGTTGTTGGTCTTTGAACATGCCAATCCCATTCCCGCCTCAGGGCTTTTGCATGTGCTGTTCCTACTGCCTAGAACCCTCTTCCAGATGGGAGACATATATGCATTTCCAGATACATGGCTCACCTTCCTCCCTCACTTCACTCAGGTGGCTGCTCAAACACCATCTTTACAGGGAGAAAAATAGTAGCCCCTTCATCCCGCATTATTTTTTCTTCATAGCACCATCACCTCCTAACAAAATGTATTTATTTGTTTTCCTATCCGCTATCCTGCTACAGAACATAAGCCTTTGAGAGAAGGGACATGTCCGATTACTTCACAACTCCATCCCAGCCCCATTTAGGGCCTGGCATACAGGGGGGGCTCTGTAAATATTTGTTGAAGGAATGTAAAGATTCGCCCATCCGCATTATCTGAATGCCTGCTCTGTGCCTGAGTCCTGCTGGACGGTGCTGAGGATACAATTGTGTGTGAAACAGCCTAGCCCTGCCCTCATGGGCTCACCGTCCAGTGGATGACACAGCCTTGTCTCTAGACAATGATGACCCAGGGTGAAGAGGGATGGAATGAAGGCGCACCAGGGCCTCAGTGGCCCAGAGGGGATGTCTGGCTCAGCCTGGGGGTGGTCAGTCAAAAGGTTTCTAGAGGGCCGGCCGAGTGGCTCAGCTGGTTAAGAGCTCTCTTGGGAGTGCCAGCTCTGAGCAGCAGGGCTGCGGTTCGGATTCCACATTGAGGGCCAGTGATGCTGGCCCTCTACAGCTAAGATGATGAACAACAGCTGGACCTGGAGCTAGGCTGCTGTGAGTCGCCGGCGACGGTGTAGGCTGCAGCAGGGCTGTAGTGGGCTGCCGTGAGCTACATGAGTGGCCAGCAGCTGGTGTGAGCTGCGGGGAGCCACTGTGAGCAGCCGACCAATGACCGGCAACCGATCTGCCTCATCTGGGAAAGAGCACAATGATCATACCAACATGAAGCGAAGTCCTCCACAACTAGACTGAAGAACAAAAACAGCAATTTGTCTACCTGTCTGTTCCCCTTCCCTGATTCCTCAACGCTGTTCCCCTCCCCCCAATTCCCCAATAAAATCTTAAAAAAAAAAAAAGTTTTCTAGAAAGGGTGCTCAGGAGAGATCGCTCTGATAAGGTAACCTGTGAGCACAGACCTAAATGGAATAAGGAATTGAGCTATGTGGAGATCTAGGGGGAAAGCTTTCCAGTTAGCAGAAACAGCAAACGCAGGCCATGGAAGGGTGACTCTGAGGCTTAGCAAGAAGGCCAGTGGCAGAACATGCAGGGGCCTTGAGGGCCAGGGTGAAAACTTGGATCTCAACTCTGTGAGACAGGGGGCCATGGGAGTTTCTGAGCAGAAGAGGGGCAGGACCTCCTTCTGCCTGCTGCATGGAGAATGGACACTGGGGGACAAAGGGAGAAGCAGTGAACTCAGGGAAGAACACACTGCAGTGGTCCGGGTGGACGATGAAGGTGCCTGGGACCAGGTGGGAACAGTGAGGGTGGGGGAAGTGGTCAGATTCTGGTATATCTTGAAAGTTGAGAGCCCTCACTATTTGCTGATGGACTGAGGGAAACAGCAGAACCATGGAAGGCTCCCAGATTTTTGCCTTAAGGGAAAAACCACAGTGAATGGGATTAATAGGATATATACATTTTTTAAATGTATCTGACCACTGCACTCCAAGCTTAGTCCAGGGTCATCAGCCCCCAGGGGTTTCCCCTACCTAGGTTAACACTTGAGTGTTTTAAGAGAAACAACTTAGTCTCTAGGATTAGTACTTAATTAAGGACTGATAGAAATTAAGCAAGTGGCCAAAGAATTACATTAAATCCTTAGATAAAACAGAATTCAAGGTGGGCCAGTGCATGGACTTGTTCCCTCCATTATGGGGGAACAAAAAAATAAATGTAGATTGGGTCATACTAGTGCAATCCCCATTTCCCTGAAAAGGAAACTGGAGCTGGGAGATGTGGAGTCATTTGCTGGGTGCAGGCTGGTGAGTGGCAGGAAAAGGGAGCAAACCCAGGTGGGTCTGACAACAGAGCGAGGCCATTGCCTCTGCCCTGTGCAAAAGGGCAGGTTTTTTTCAGCCAGCACTGAGGACCCCTTGGAGGTTTGGAGCCAAGGTGTGACCTGAAAAGAAACTGGTTTAAGAAAGGTCACATAGGGTGTGCCCAAGAAGTCAAAAGCAAGCATTATCCAGTCTCCCTAGTGACCAGACCCTAGAGTCCTTTATCCTCTCAAGTCTCCAAGACAAGGATTTCCTGCCCGAAAGTTTCAGGAACAACATCCAAATCCATCCCCCACTACTTGGAAAATTTTACTTTGGTCAATGGCAGGGGTTAAGAGACGTACAGACCTCTCTCTTTGGAGCCTCAGTGCTCAGTTTCAACAAAATAAGAATGGATAATCAGTTCCGTGGACAAACGTTTAGTCAATTCTTCAATTGCCAGGGTAGGGAACCAGCTGAGTTACCAGGTGAACAACGAGGACCCTAGACCTAGTTAATCGAGGTGGTGACGTGTCCACACACCGCCATGGAGTGCCCCGTCTGGATTCAAATTAGTTCAATGGGGCCCACCTGGGAGGGTCAGAACCCCAAGCGCTGGGTCCTTTCCCTCCCCTCCAACCCCCAAGACCGGTCAGTTTCCTTTCAGTTCTTCCCTGGCCACCCATTGCTCTCCTTTTTTTATACTAAGTCGGTCCTCCAGGCCCCAAGGCGTCCACTCCCTACCCCGCCCAGGGCTGGGCATTCTCCCCACCTCCCAGCTCAGATTAGGCCAGCGATTCCACCCGGGGAAAGGCAAGGGTCTGCTGACTGCTGCCGTTATTACTGTTATTACCGTAGTTATTATTTTCCGCGCTCCCCGACTTCCCCACTCCACCCCCGGCGCGGAATGTCCCCGCTCCTGCGTTCCGACCCGAGTCCCCGGTGCAGGCGTTCGGGGACCAGAACGTCCCTGCAGCCAGCGTTGCAGGAGCGGATCCACCACTCGGGGCTTGCCCGCGGGGTGGAAGACCCCGGTCGGGGCCCAGGAGAGGCAAAGTTCTCGCCACCAATGGCCAACAGCCCGCACTCACCGAGGTCCGCGCGCCTAGCGCCTCTACTTCCGCCTGCGCCCCGGCTGCAGTGGCTCGGGCGGGCAGCGAGTCGCCGAGCCTGGGTTCCGCCCGCCGCCGCCGCCGCCTCGCTGCCCCACGTGGTCGCGGGCGGGCTCGCGGGCTCGGAAGCAGCACAGCCCCGGGACATCACCCTACCCGCGGCATGGCCGGGCGCTTGGATCTGATCCACGGTCTGCGAGGTAGCGGAGTCCAGGATGCCCATTTTACAGAAGAAATGAGACTCAGAGAGGGGTTAAGGGCAGAGCTTGGACTTTGCTCCCCCATCCCCTTACACGTGCACACTCCTACCCCTCACCTCCCCAACACCACCTCCCCTAAGTGAAACCTTGAGATCATGCTCTAGGCTGCCAGGCACCAGGAAAAAGCCCTGAAGAGCAGCAACTGGGACGGACCCGAGGCAGTCATTTTGTCCTGCAGCCCGATTTTACAAAAGAGGAAACTGAGGCCCGAAAGGCAGAATGGCTGGGCGGAGGTGCTGTGGAACCTCCCTGCTCTGGGCTTAGACAGAATTCACTTCTTCCACACTGTGTCACTAAGGCAGGGGCCTTGTGGGCCTCTGCTTCCCACTAGATCCCCAAGATCTAGTGCCTGGCACACAGGCCTTATGCAAACATCTATTGAAAGAATACGCACAGCAGGAGCTCAATACATATTTGTTGACTGAACTATGAAGGAATAGGGACTCTATTTGCGAACAAAACAGACTTGACTCCTGCCCTCGCAGAACCTACATTTTAGGGGCGCTGGGAGGGCCCAAACAGGGCATACGTGAGCAAATGCATCAACAAGACCCTGTGGGGCTTGATGAGTGATGTAAAAGTAATAAAATAAGTGTAGTGGGATTGATGGTGGCAAGGTTGGGGAGCTTCTTTAATTGGGTGCTCAGAGAAGGTGGCAGTGAAGAAGCCACCTCAGGTAATAGATGGGGAAACGGAGGCTTAGGAGGAAACTGAGGACAGATGGAGGTCAAGGAGTATAAACTGTAAGGCCTTCAGCAGGGTGTGGCTACTTTAGATACTGTGGTCAGGGAGGCCCTGGGCAGGAGGACAATTGAGCCCGGACCTGAATAACAATATGAGGAACCCTGGGGCTGGAGTAGCACTGCAGGAGATTAGCATGTGAAATTCACTCAGTGCTGGGCTGGTTGTACGTGGGGGAGGACAGACTCTGGCCCTGACCTCAGGGGCCTTGTGTGTGTGTGTGTGTGTGTGTATGTGTGTATGGGGGGGGGGGGTTTGGGGGTGTGGGAAGGAGAGGACTGTCAAGGAGAGGACCGTTCTGTATTATGATGTGGTTGATGCCAGGAAGAAAAGAAAACTTGCAAGGGTTGGAGGGTGGGGCAGGGTGTTGATGCCACTTCAAACAGTGATCTGAGAGAGCTTCTTTGAGGAGGGAAGTTCAAGCAGGCCCAAGTGAAGGGAGGTAAGACAGTTGGCTATTTGGTTTTCATGGAGATTCCAGTGTAGGAGCAGAGTAGATGTCTATGATCCCAACTCTCTTCCTCCCAAATCCCTCCCAAGGCTTGGGTCCCCTAAAACCAAAAGACTAAAGTGGCCGAAAGGCCCTCTTGGAGCTGACCTCATTTTCTCAGAGAACTCAATCACCCTCTCCTTCCCCCTTCCCCTCCCCCCTCCTTGTTATTCTTGAACACAGGCTGTCTGGCTGACTCCCTCACCTCCCTCACGTCTCAATTCCACCATACCCTTCCCTGGCGTGGGGAAAACATTGAGGCCCCCATCCCAGTCACCCTGTCTCTTTATAACCCTTCCTAGCTTTATTTGGCTCCACATGGCACTTGTCACCCTGGAAGGCTCTTTGAATTTTACATACGTAGTCAAGTTTATTGACAGTAGTCTCCCCAACCAATAAACTGGGGGAGGCCAGGCAAGGAGTATTGTCTGTTTGGTTCACTGCTGTACCCAGGACCTGGTGCACAGTAGGCGTTCAATAAATGTTTGCCCAGTGAATTTTTATTGTAGTGCATTTACTGAAAGAGTCTAGATTACTGTTAGGCACCTAGTTAGAAACGCGGCCCCTACCATTTTCTTGATTGGGGGTGTTTGTGGGGACCCTGTGCCTCAGTTTCACCAGCCCTAAAACGGAATCCGGAATGGCTGTTTCTATGTCTGGCTGTGTGAACTCGGTGTCATTAAGGTGTGGTCACTAAGCCAAACGCAGTGGGCAGTGCTCTGATTGACTTTGGCCGCCAGCCGGTGGGGCCCCAGCGAAGCCTCCGGTCCTCTCCCATCAGGCCCCGCCCCAGTGGGCGGGGCCACGGGCTGGGCCAGCACGTGTAAAAGTTCGCGGCCAGTCGCCGCAGTCACTCACCTGAGCGCCTTGCTCTGAGCGCACACGGCTTGCGCGTTCTCCCCCTGCCTGCCCGCCAGCTCGCCCGGGTCGCGACTCATGTCCCGCCGCAAGGCCGGCTGTACGCCCCGCCGAGTAGACCCCGAACCCGCCGCCAACTCTGACGACGAAACGGAGACGCGGGACCTGGTCATTGATATGAAGTCGGAGTCAAACCCGTGGCTCCTACAGGTTCCGGGGCTGGGGCCCATCTCCCCAAAGGAAGTGCCGGCGCCGGGGCGGTTCGAGGGCGAACCTTACCACTCCTCCGACCCAGTGCCCGCCGGCGGCCTCCTCCACGCTATCGGCTCGCAGAACCAGTGGGCGCCTCTGATCCTGAACCCTCAGGGTGAGCGGCCCCTGTCCCGAGCCCCACCACTCTCTCCCCTTTCACTCTCGGGTGGGACCCCTCCTCCGGGCACCGCCCCCGCCCCCTACTCCTGCCTTATTTCGGTCGCTGGGTCCTGGCCTTCTTCTGACCTTCGGGTTTCCCCTCTTCCTCGGAACCCCCAGCCCCCATTCTGGCCCCACCCCACGCTCACCACCCGCTTCCTCCCTGCAGACCGCCAGCCCTGGACCGACAAACACCCAGATATGTTGACCTGCGGCCGCTGCCTGCAGACCTTCCCGCTGAAGGCCATCACTGCTTTCATGGACCACAAGAAACTGGGCTGTCAGCTCTATAGAGGCCCCAGCCCTTGCCAGGGCTCAGGTGAGTAAAGCTGGGATGCAGACCCCTCTCAAGTTCAAGGGCCTGGCTTCCTGTGGGAGAAGGGGCTGAGGTGGACAGGCGGGGCAGTGAGCACTACTTCCCCTTTCTCGCACCCCATCGGGCGCAGCCTAGGCGTGGCCTGGGCCTGCCCTGTCCTAGGGCTGGGACTAGTGGTGGTGAGGGGTGGGGGCGGGGCTGGGCAGGGAGAGAGGGCGGCCCACAGGGTGTGGCCAGCCCCAGAAGACTGGTCTGGGGATTTGCCACACACACACACCCCCAATCTGGTTTCACTTCTCCTTCCCCTTGGCCAGAAATAACTGGCCAGGTGGCTGGACCAGTGTGGCAGTAGGGGGGACCTCTGGGGAGGGCAGCAGCCTGGGGGAGGGGGGACTGAGGCCAGCTGGAGGGAGGTGTTGCCACCCCTTCCATCTCTTTATCTCTTGTGTTTGAGGTGCTTGTGCATTTGCTCAGAGCCAGGGAAGGGGCTTCTGGCCTCGCCCTCCCACCCCCTCCCCCCATGGAATCTCCCAGCCCCGCTTGCTGGAAAGCCCCTGGTTTGAGCCAGGTCCTGGTGTCTAGGCACCTGAGACAGAATTAAACCCTTAACATGGTACTAGACCCATGGTGAGCTTTTGGTCAGCATCAGCTGCAGGGTTTATTTAAACCTATGCTTTCCAGACCCCAGCCTATGTGCTCCTGGGATTTTTGTTCAGGGAGGGTCCTGTGGTAAGAAAGGAGTTGCTGTGATGGAATCAACTGCAGAATGGGAACAGGGAGGAGCTGTGATGGAATTATTGGAACAAAAACACTGAGACTCCTGGAATTGGAGGATTATGGGCTCAGCTAATGTTTACTGAGGGCTTACATGGACCCAAGCTCTCAGCTGTTCCCCATTCAAGGTCATAATAACCCTAAAAGGGAGAGGACCCCCCCTAGGATCCCCATATTCTAGCAAATGTGGATACTGAGGCTCAGAGAGGTATTTCTTGTCCCAAGGTCCCACAGCTAGGGAGAGACTCACCGCCCCCACACACAGACACCCACCCACCACACTTCTGTAGGTGTCTACTAACCCTTCTTCCCCATCTAGACCTTGGCCCCCTTTTCTGTAAGGCATGGAGCGCAGGATGTGGGGCCTGACAGAAACCCACTCAGTAATCAAGAGCAATTTTTATTAAACCAACAACCTTTGAAAACCTGTCTCCCACTCCCCAGGTTTCTGGATTGAAGCCCCAGGTCCACCTCTTCCAAGCTATGTGACCTTGGGGAAATGTCTCTGCCTGTTTTCCCATCTGGAAAATGGAAGTCTTATTTCCCATCTTGAAGAAAAGCTCTGAGAGCTGAGGCATGGCCCAGTGCTTAGCACACTGATTTTGGTCACCTCTTCAGCAAGGAATTCCTGAAACCCCTCCCACCCAAGTATAAAATAGTGCTACCCCACCTCACCCCATCCCTCACTCTGCTTTACCTTTTCACTTTTTCTAGAAGATTTTCAAATGCACAGAAAGAAAATCCTCCCATACTTACCATTCACTCCAGAGTTTCCTTGCTTTGCCTGTCCCCCCACCTCCCTGAGGGCAGGGAGTTTGCCTGTCCTCTTACGGTGTGTTCTCAGGCCCTGGAATAGAGCTTTTTCCAAAGGTGTCCAATTGGCAACTGTGACGTGCAACTATTATGCCTTTTACCCATCACACTAACACTCGACCTTCCACTCTGCAGAACTCAGGGACCTGAAGGCCTTGATCTGCCTCCGCTGTGGCCGGCAGTTTGAGAGGGCCTGGAAGCTGCTATGCCATGCCCAATGGGACCACGGACTGTCCATCTACCAGACAGAACCCGAGGCCCCAGAGGCTCCACTGCTGGGCCTAGCAGAGGTGGCTGCAGCTGTGTCGGCAGTGTCTGCAGTGCTGGGGCCAGAAGTGGGGGCCAAGGGCCCCAGGGCAAGCAGCCATCCCCGGAGGATCCCTACCTGCCCTGTTTGCATGAAGACCCTTAGCTCCTTCAGCAACCTCAAGGTGCACATGCGTTCGCACACAGGCGAGCGGCCCTACGCCTGTGACCAGTGTCCCTACACCTGCGCTCAGAGCAGCAAGCTCAACCGCCACAAGAAGACCCACCAGCAGCTGCAGCCCCGGAGCCCCTACATGGCCAATGACAGTCAGGAACAGGCCTCAGCCGCCCCTCCGGAGCCAGCCGCCCATGCTGCGGCCCCGGCCAGCACCCTCCCATGCAGCGGCGGGGAAGGGGCCGGAGCTGCTGCCACAGCAGGTGTGCAGGAACCTGGGGCTCCTGGTGGTGGGGCCCAGGCTGGCCCTGGTGGGGACGGTTGGGGAGTCGCCACCAAGGAAGAAGAGAGAACTGACCGTGCCCAGAGCCCGAAGATTTTGCCCAAGAAGACACCAAAGCCAGTGGGCAAGAGCCGCGGGTCCGGGGGCAGCTGTGAGTTTTGCGGGAAGCATTTCACTAACAGCAGCAACCTGACGGTGCATAGGCGCTCACACACAGGGGAGCGGCCCTATGCCTGTGAGCTCTGCCCCTATGCCTGTGCTCAGAGCAGTAAGCTTAACCGCCACCGCCGTATGCATGGCCTGGGGCCTGGTGGCGCACGCTTCGAATGCCCCCACTGCCATGTGCCCTTCGGCCTGCGGGCCACTCTGGACAAACACCTGCGGCAGAAGCACCCTGAGGCAGGCGGGGAAGCCTGAGTGGCAGGAAGGCCCTCCCTGCTGTCCCTGGTACCACTGCTACCAGGTCTGTTGACCTTGTCCTTACCCTGCTGTGAATAAATCCTCCCTCCCTCTAGTTACACCCGTGTGGACTCTGCTTTCTCGGGGTATCTGAGGTGGGGCAGGAGCCTTCCCGTCCTTGGGGTGGACGGCTGGACAGACCGGTTTGGAATGAGGGGGTGAGGGGAAAGGCCAGCCCCCAGTGCCTGGGGCACAGCAGGACTGGCACAGAAAGCCGTGCTCCCGGTTCCCAGTGTGGGCGAGGGCGGGGAGAGGCCTGGACCTGTCACCAGAAGCCCTGGGCAAAGTCCTGGCCCATCCTCATGTGGGTGCTGGGCCCTTTTCCCACCGAATCAAGCCCCTGCTCTCACTGAGCTGCAGCCACCCAGACTCAGGCCGGGCTTCCCACAAGGACAACACTGGCACCTGTCCTCTAACCTCAGCAAGTCCCCTCCCCCCTCCCCACCTGGCCTTGCTGGCCGATGGGCACTGGGGTTTGGGAGCCCTGCACCCACCACAATGGACGACAATGAGGCCAAGTGAAGGGAATTAAATAACGTTTGATTTTATTTTGTTAGAGAACAAAACCAGCAGCATCACAGCTTGAGCCCTCGCCCCCCCATCCCCTCGCCCCCCCACTTCTGCCTAATGTCGGTAATGGGGGCTTCGGGATCTGGACCTTGAGCGCCTGGAAAGAGAAAGGGGAGGGGCCACGTGAGGGTTGGGCAGGACGCTGGGAGCCCTGCTGTGTGCACATGTACACACACGTACACATGCACCGACAAGCCTGGGGACCACTGGGGCTTCAGTGGTTGGAGTCAGCTGTGGAGGAGGGAGGTTTCCAAGGGAGAAAGCAGCTGCTACAACTGGAGGGTACAGGGTGGGGATGGAGGAATCAGGCTAGACCTCCTACCACAGGACAAGTGATTTTCTAGGGAGCTGGGCTGGCTTGCTTACCTTCTGGAAGAGCTGTATTCTCGACCTGGAATGAAAGGAGGAGCTGAGGACAAAGCAAACATCCAGGAGCGGGCTGCAGGGCTGGACTCCTGGTATGTCTCCAGCTGAGGCTACACCAGTGCATCCAGCAACCATCCCTCCCCACCCGCCTCACCCCCTGACCACACCAATGTACTGGGAATGAGGATTTCTTCTCATTCCTGCAATTCCCTTGTGACAGAAGCAATACCATGTGTGCATGCATACTCAGGTCTTAAGAGTTTTAATTTATGGAAGGCTAACATGAAAATGTACCATGGTTTTTTGTAACCAGTTTTGACATTCTTTTTTTTAATGCCCCACAGCCTCTAGCCCTGCTCTTCTGACCCATGACCATGGGGACACTCACTGTAACGGGGGGAGGGCGAGCGACTCTGCCTGCTGTATTGGCGTTCCCATTCTTCTCTCTCCTTCTCTCGGCGTTCCCGCTCCCTGCAGGAAGAAGAGGAGGCAACCCCGGAGGGGTGAGTATGCGGAGGGGTGAGTATGCAGAGGGGTGAGTATGCGGCACAGCACAATGAACTCCAGAGCTGGCTGGGTCACCTGCCCAGGGCAGGTGCTTCCGACATCCTAGTCCCACTGGAAGAGCAAACCATCCCCACTTGGAAATGAGGACACTGAGCTCAGAG